TTTAATACGGATCTTGCAATCGAAATTTGCAATGGATTGCGACCAAAGTTTGCTCCTGGAACTCCTGATTGTTATATCGAATTGGCAAATAAATGCATGGATTCAGATCCACAAAAGCGGCCTAGTGCTTATGATGTTCATAAAAAGATTAAGAATTGGCTTAAAAAGTTAACTTCGGATAATGATTCAGATAATGATTCAGATGATGATTCAGATGATGAAAGCGAATTCAAAAAACAGTTCTTAAATGCCGGTGAAATTATTAAAACATTACCAACAATTCCTCAAACACATCCGAATCATATGTACACTAGATATAAGTCATGATCTCGTGGTTGTAATACATCTCATAGTGTGATAAAAAACTTTTACCATTATTGTAACCCTACTTACCCTTACCCAGTGTTGGCACATTTATTCATCGAACTAATGAAGAATAACTCCATTGACATTGCTCCATTGAGAATAATTTCTGAATGGAGCCAATAGAAACCAGTCAACTCCATTAACTTTGATCCGTTTAACGAAACGAGTGTCGCAGTAAATGAGCCGAATGACAACAATAATTTCCAAAATCATCAATCGGAAGTAGAAAACAAATTACTGAGTAATTTTTCATCAAAAGAAACAAATGACGATAAATGGAAAATATTAGAATTTAAATTTGCTAACATGACTCGTGAAGAAAAATTTGACAAAAGGGGTTTAATATTACGTTTAGATATTAAAAGACTTATAGAAATATTGGAAAAAATTGAGCCAAATTTAGTCAATTCTTGGCTTCAAAACTTTATTGATAGTATTGACATCAATGAAAACGATAGCTTTTATAATACTAAATTAAGAATAAAGCAACTTGAATATATTATATATAATGAATTAATTCCAAACCTTTACAAAGTGCACTATGGGAGCTATAGTGTGCACTTAGAAAGGGTGTGTATTACTACTAGTATCCCGAGTCTTTCCGGCAACAATTGTGTTAATTTATTATAGGCCCGGGCTGTAAAATCCTATGCACGTGTAGAGGTTGAGGGTGCACTCCAAGCATGGCTATAGTGTACACTTAAAGAGCGCGTTACTTAGGGAGGTTTTACTATCTCAAATCAAGCTTATATTCCCAAGTTAAAATTAAATCTTTACAATATTGTTCAAAACAAGCCCCAATGATCAATTATTATAACAATGATCCTGTTTCTGAAGCTATTAACGAATCAGAATCAGATGCCAAGTTGAAAAATAATTTTGTCGAAATACAAAACCCGGATTATCAAACAGTTTCCGAAACTATTATTAAGGTACGTGATAGCGATAAGAAATAGGGCATAATTTCAAATAATCAAATTTCATCAAGTTTACATGATTTATAGGCGCAACACGGAAACTCAGATGATGCGGATGAACAAATAGACAATAGAATCATCGAAATCCAGCAAGGAATAAATATTGTGAAAGATATAATAAAAGTAGATTGTCTTAATTTTAGAAATTGGATTGAAAATACGAACAATGAAATCGTCGAATTATTGGAAGAAATCAATTCTGAAAATACAAAATTAAATGTTAAATTATGGGGACCGACGGCCTATGAAGATGGCATAAAGCAAGTTAATTACTCTTGCAAAAATAAAATTAAACCTCCAGGGCGCCTTCGATCATTTTGTTCAACAACTTCAAAATCAAAAGTAGAATCTAAATCCGATCAATTTAATATCACTTCGATTCAAAAAATACTTTGAAGACAATTTCGGTTTATTTCTCATAGAGAGAATTATTATAAAAAATACTTTGAATCTATGTTAGCTCACCCAAATTTAATTAGAAAATACTTATTTATTTATTTTTATTTTTGTAAATCAAATTGTCTAAATAATCGGTTTAAAGACTAGTGCTTTAAATTGAATAGCCTGAGAGAGAGAATTCTATAGAAATTTTCATCAACAATTCAAACTACCGAAAAATCTCATGAACTTATCATATACCGTCAATTTCTGTCATCTCGAATCAAAGAATTTCCGTGATCTAATGGAAAGTCAATCGAGCTATCGTTTATTCAAGTATAGAGGACTATGGCTAAAAATATAAATGATAAGTAATTTTTAAAGTATTTAATAATGTTATGATATATGTAGTAACGTCTTTTTTTTTAGGAGTGACTTGCGAAGTAGGGCAAAAGCTCGAATATTTAAGACTGGCTTAGATAACGAAGTTTCAATCGATTTTCCATTTTTCATGGGAATTCTTTGGATCGAGATGACAGGAGCTGATGGTATTTGATGAGTTCATGAGATTTTTCGTTAGTCAGAATTGCTGGTGAAATTTTCAATAGCAATTCTCTCTTAAGCTATTGACATTGAGGACTAGTTCAAAGCCATTATTTAGTCAATTTTTATTAATTTATTATTTATTATTCATTACTCGAATTATTTTGTCTAATTTATATTAGAAAGAAATTTATATTATTTATTTATTTATTACTCGAATTATTTTGTCTAATTTATATTAGAAAGAAATTTATATTATTTATTTATTTATTACTCGAATTATTTTGTCTAATTTATATTAGAAAGAAATTTATTTCATTATCGCAACAACTCGATTCCAAAAATTTTTGATTAAATAATACAATTGTAAAAAAAAATTTTTTTAAAGAAAGTAAATAACAATGTCAAGTAACGTACGTGAATGCTCTTCCTTAAAAATTTTTCTGATTAATTATGGACTCTAGTAAGTTAACACAAGGATCTATTCATCACAAACATGGGGGTTGCCCACATCTTTCAATGACATCATCATGATAGTTACATATCATCCGGCCGACAATATGTAGAGTATACCACAACTATAACGTTCACCTAAGTGACAGCGTAACTTCAACCCCATACATGTTAAGTAAGAATGGGGGTTGCCCACACTCACCTTTAAATACTAACTTAAACCAACTAACCCAATCTCCTCGAAGCAACATAAGCTTCATCCAGATTCGTTTCAGCAGACTCTTTATTTCTAAGTGAGAGGAAAAAGGTCTATTTGATTTTATATGTTTAAAATAGGATATTTCTACGTCTTGTTAATTATGTTATTTACAGCAATACATGCTTAGTAAGTTTGGGGTTGCCTACAATCACCATTAAATACAATATTAAAATTAACATTGATTTGTTCAGATATTTTATTTTATTTTTTTTTAGATTAATGATTGAGCAATTAATATTATTTTTTGTAGATTATTATATATATATTACTGAAAAAATTATATTAACCTCAATTGTTCTTATGTTTCACAATGATTGGTGCCGAGTTTATTATTAAAAAAAAATTAAAACACAACAATATTATATAAAATTATATATTCGGTATACTCAATTATTTATTGCGTAATACAAAGAACAAAGCGCGTTCTGATACGCGTACTAAGCCACATCTTCAGCAACATCATGATAGTTACACCACAACTATAACGTAATTTCAACCCATACATGCTAAGCAAGAATGATTATATGTACTGGGCATACGCCTTTTTATTGTAATTTTTTGTGTTTACATTATAAAAACCGGTTTATACAACATTATCACAAGTTTTATTAATAACTTTTTGTTACGGTTCGAAGAGATTGTCAAATTTATATGTAAATGGTATTATACTAAAATGAACATTTTTGAACAAGAAAATATCAAAATTTCTTATACTTAACGATATTTAGATGATAGACTCAACTATGATTGCTAGATAATATAACCGAATATTGGCTACCTCCATCAATTTCGATAATTTCTCCAAACTTTTCACATTTAAGCTTGAATGGCAATAACTCGTCATTCTCACTTTGATTTCCGAGAGCATAGTTTGACCAATCTCCAGTCGCAATTAATAATTTTTTAATTTTAAAAACCGGTTTTTATATTATACAGGTAACAATATAAAGTACAAAGTACAAGCGCGTTCTAGTACGTGTACCTAGAACAAAATATGTGTGATAATGCATCCTTTATTATCGTTTTTTTTTATATAAACAAGTTTTTCAATTTATTCTGATTACATTGCAGGTAATACAATAGAGAATCATAAAGAGCAAAAGCGCGTGTACTAATACGCGTGCTAAGCCCCAAAAGACTGCGCGATAATGCACATTTGCGAAAAATCAGGTCTTGAGCATTAAAAAAAATTATTTTTTGAATCAAAGAGAGACTCCCGCCCCAAGATTGCTTATAAATTAAGAAGAGTTATGCAGAAGTCGAATTCCTATAAAAATATTTAAATTTTGATAGAAGCATTCTTAGGGAATCTGATTTACAAAATGGATATTATTTTCATTATTTGCTCCCTTTTGTTTATTTTTGCTCTTATTTTTCATTATACCTCTTATTCCGAAGAAAACAATGCAACTGGTTATGATGATTCAATATTGGTTATTGTGTTTGACGAAAGTATCATAATTACTCTCCAACGACTCGTGAAAAATTTAGATAAATTAAACCAATTAAATGAACAAATATATGAATTGAAAGAAAGTATCATAAATGTTCTCCAACAACTCATGAAAAATTTAAATGAACAAATATATGAATTGAAAGAAAATATCATAAATACTTTCCAACGACTCATGAAAAATTTAAATAAAGAAAAGCAAGAAAATGAACAGATTAGAATCCTTGAACAAGAAAATAAACGTCTTATACAAGAAATTCAACGAATCAAAAATGAAATGAATAACAATATCAATGCTCATCAAAAGCAAATTTACATCCTTGAACAAGAAAATAAACGCCTTATACAAGAAATTCAACGAATCAAAAATGAAATGAATAACAATATCAATGCTCATCAAAAGCAAATTTACCAAATGGAGTATGCTAGATTGCAATTTAAAGAAGTACTTCAGAATGAAAGGACACGGTTGCGAACAAATTATCAAAACCGTTTCAATGAATATTTTCAATATTATGACGATTATTTTCAGAATTTAACACTACAATCAACGGAAGAGATTAGATGATTAACGGCAATGATTGAAAAGAAGGACACGCAATTAAAAGTTTCAAAAAAATTTTTGAACATGAAGATTAAGGACTGCAGATCTCTGGCAGAACGTATAAAAATACTTGAACAATCAAAAACTGTCGAATCATCCGGAAACATGATCTGAAAGTGACATTGAAATTATTGAATCGAAAATCGATAAACTTATACATAAGCAATTAAATTTTATCGGATTAAATATAGAAAAGGAGTCACTTTCTGCAAATTTCCAGGAACGAAAAATTAGCAGAATCACGTATTTACGAAAATTGATGCAGCGCCACATCATGTGACCAATCAGTATTGCGCAAACAGATCGGTCACATGAAGTCGCGCTGCATCAATTTTCGTGATTATGTGATTCGTCTAACTCTATATTTATTTCCATTTTTTAGTACAAATTTTAGTTTGTAAATTCTTAATCTTTTAAATTGACCAAATGTAATTTTTGTAATATGTGGTAATATAAATTGACCAAATGTATTTTTTTTGTTATATAAAAAGTCTTTAATGAGTTATTGCATATCTCTAAAAAAAATTAAATTAAAAATTATAGTTAACGATAAAGCTAACCAGTCGAATAGTTTTAATAATGTTCGAGCAAAGGAAATGCTTATATTAATTCCTTAATCAAAAAAAACGACACGTAGGTCCATTAAGTCATGTGATTTATTACGATACTTTTAAGGAATTCCCGTTAAAAGATAATTCTGTTGGTGAAAATTTTTATAGGATAGTGAGATTTACTGTAATTTCTGTATTGGTTAAATATAGTAATTATCATTTGCGTTTTTAGTATCAAGATGTTTTTTTTTTATAAATTCCTGGCACACTTAATCTGATTGGTTGAGTTCATATGATTCTTGCAATAATTCAAAGTCACGCGAATCAAATGACGGCCCGTGAAATTTAATTTCTTAATGCTGGCTAAATCCAAAAATTTCCAAAATTTTTTGCCAGCTTTAGCTTTTGACCTAAAATTAAACTTTCTCAATTTAATGCTATAGAAGATGATTTTTTTAAATTAATTTTTAGAGACATATATATATTTATAAATGAAAAAAGTTTTTTTACGTGTCATCTCGTCCATACTGATTGGTTGCATGTATCATTAAACAGACTGAAAAGTGGGACCGTTAAGTCATGTGATTTATTAAGATTAATATAAATAATTCTTTTTTTTATTTATTAATTATTATTTATTTTTAATATTTGCTATCTAAATTAGCTCTACGTAAAGCTTTTAAAGTAATAAAAGGGAATGTCATCAAATTATTCAATCTCATTCTTTTTGCTATCTAAATTAGCTTTACGTAAAGCTTTTAAAGTAATAAAGGGAATTCCATCAACATATTCAAACTCATCATATTCATACTCATCATAAATCTCGCAACAAAGCTCAAGGTTCGCATTATAAAGATATTCTACTGCCCTACGAAATTCTTGGATTATTTTATTAAATCCGTCATTATTTACTCCATTTCCAAGATTCCTTTCGGGATTGAAAGGCTCTTCTATACATAATTTCCAATGCATCCAATTTTTTTCCCATTTATTCAGGCACTTTCCTGGCCGAAGAGAAATAACGTAATTTTCATAATCAAAGTCATAAGTAAACCTAATGTAAATTACGTTTTTATAAATTTAGCGAATTCTATTTAATAATAAAAATTTTACATAATTTAGAATTTTATTTTTCACATGTTAAACCTATTAAATTAGTTTAACAGGTAAAAAATGAAACTCCTAGCTCCTCTAACATTACCATTTAAAAAAAGCAAATAACAATCCACCAATTGATTCATTATTTTTGTATTCAACTTCCAATAATTCATTTTCATTTTCTTTTTCATTAATTTTTAATACTGGTAAAATTGGAGGATAACGCATTTGAAGGAAATTCAAAGTCATACATGTCCAAGTATATGATGATAGGGTTCCGCTAGCTATAGTAATGAATAGAAATAAATCAAGAAATTTTAGAATTTTATACAAAATAAATGTAGAATCAGCATACCAGCATCGTTTAAGTCTCGTCTCTGTGCCCAATGTTTTATTATCATTAATAGCGGATGAACTCTTGAATCTAAACATACATACGATTTTATTAGATAAGGCCTGAGTATTGTTGACATTGATGTCACATGCTAACTTCCTGCAAATATAACATAATGGTAAGATTACAATAATAAAAAGCACAGCGACATTAGAATAACTATATACGTAGTAGGATCCCAGAATTTAACAATAGGCACTTTAGCTTTGGGAACACATTTAACTACTTTCATTTCATTTGTTTAATATACAAAAGTTTAAGATTAATTCATTTTTTGCAACACAAATTGATAAATAAACTTAACACACGTTTTTGCAACTTCTCAGACAATGTAAGTATGTTTTCTAATTCTTTACTTGGTGTCGTAACGCATATATCAACGTCCGAAGTTGATGTTCCAAGAAAATTCACGGATGATCTCATAAAGTGGACAATAAGCTCAAGTAATACATATATTTAAATATCATTATTTAGAAAATTTTATTTACCCAAACATATTAACTTTTATTTCGAAATTAGGCCATTCATAGTTTACTCTTTTGGCGTCTGTCTTCTTTTATTTATTAAATATATGATGATATTATTTTCCAACCGATAAACTATTCTTTTTTATTAAAACAGCTACTATCGAAACTGTAGAATTTCCAACAAATTTTCTTGGGCAGACATCAAATTAAATTTGTTAAAATATTTCAGACACTAACAACAAATGACAAAAGGTAAAAGAATAGAACGAATAAATTGCATGCACTATAATCCTGATTCTGCAAATTGATGAATATTAAGTTCTACTACAAATAAAGCTGCATTTATATGAATTCAAGGTTTTTAGTTAGTATTAGTGATGGGACTAACGAAGCTAAAAATTAAATCAACACATGTCATGAATCTCGAGGCTTAGAAATTGCATAAAAGATAATGTCAAATTTAATTGAGAACTTTTTTGTTTCAAAAAATTTTTTACATAATTTTCGCAAATATGCATTATCGTAATGATGGGACTATGAATGCTAAAAATTAAATCAACTCATTTTGTCACAAAGATGTCTCCATTAACATTATTATGTTATGTTAAAACACAAACACCAAATCTATTTTACTTGTTATCACGTACCCGTGTACAAACACTATGTGTAAACTAAGAAATTTTCTTAAAAATATATAAGTAAAAAAAAACAAAAATAAATTTTTTTTTATTAAGAAAACTAATGTTTAAGTTCTAAATCTATAGTCAGGTTTTCCATTTTTTCTATGGTTTTATGAAAGTGGGATTCAATTGTTCCTCTTGTAGCTGTTAATCTTGTTAAATTCTTGCGTAATTTGTTGTATGTTACATTCTCGAGTTTAAAAGTTACAGCGTTCGTTTTTTCTTCGGAAGTTTGTAATATGACTGTGGCGGCACTTGCTACTATTTGTTTATCTGATTTTTTGAGAATATTTTTTTTATAAAATTTGAAGCTTGCAGTTATGTTTCCTCTAACTAAAATACTAGAGATTAATCCATTTTTATCTCTGTATATACGGGGGCGGACAGTTTTATGTTTAGGCATTTTATACGAGGATTTTAATTAGTTTAATTTAGAATAATTGGATAAAATACAATTTAAAAAATAGCAAAAAATGTGCGATAAAAAGGGCTCTTTATATATTTAAGATTGAATAGGTATCTGATATCAGGATTCTTACTAGGGTTGGATCGGTCCGGTCCGGTCCAGTCTCGGTCCTAATAAGACCGGTCCCAATAGTATTATCGGTCCTATTCGGTCCGGTCCCCGGTCCCAAGATAAACTA